ATTTTACCTGCGTAAATTTGTAGTTCCTCTTTCTAAGAAATCAATAAGTCTACCTGGTGTTGCAATACATATTTCAACACCTCGTTCTAAATCATGTGCTTGTGGACCTTTGGGTGCACCACCAAAAATGCAAGTATTTCTTACACCTGCTGCTTCTCCAAAACAATTAGCTACTTCCTGAATTTGTTGAGCTAATTCTCTTGTAGGAGCTAAGATTAAAGCAATTGGACCATCTCCATTACTAAGTCGTGGTTGATGTATGATATGTACAATTGCTGGTAAAACATACTAAAATAAAAATATATATTAACATAAAATATCTTAATAGAATCAATTTATATAAATTCACTAAAACTTAATTTATTATATATTATAGATATGTATATTCTAATATCTAATAAAAAAAACGTCTTTACATTTTTACAAATTAAAAATTAATGTATCTTTAATCTGGCTCACTCCTAGTGTTTTTCCAGAGCCAGTTTGAGCAATGGCAACTAGATCTCTGCCACTAAGTGCAATAGGCCATCCTTGTGCCTGAATTGCTGTAGGTTGAGAATATCCTTGTTTATGTATTTCTTCCAAAACATAAGGTGGAAAATTTCCTTCTTCAAAATATTGTATAGGATTAGGTATATTATCACCTTTTATAGTTATTTCTGCATTTTCTCGAAATTGACATACTTCTTCTTTTGATCTAATATAAAGTTTATTGAATTACATTGAAATATTTTAATTAAGAAAAGAGAAAATTATGAAAAATAAAATTTTTACCTGCTTCTAACTGTAGGATGTTCTATGTAAAAATCTTTGCGTAAAGGTTCTAAAGATCTTACATCCCAATTGATTTTTCTAAGGGTTCCTCCAGGTTGTTTGTTTTTTATAATACCTCTAAGAGTGTTAGTAGTACCTCTACCACGTATACCAAATCTACTAATACTACTTCCACGAATATTATCATTATTTCCTCTATTGCTACCTCTACCACCACCACCTCTGCGACCTCTATTATGATCTCTATCTCGATTAAACCTGAATATATAATATATCATATAAAATAATTATATATATTATTATATTTAATTATATTATATATAATTTATTATTATTATTATATTATAAATTATTATATTAACAGTCAGTATGAGAATAAATAAATATTAGATTTAAAATAAAAATTATAAATATAATATTAATTTTATTTTTTCTTTAAATATAATATTTACTATAATTTATATTTTTTAATATATTTATTTATTTAAAAAAATTATATATATTTATGTAAAGATAAACTATTTCTTCAGTAAAGTTAAGAAAAATATTTTTCTTCTTTAATTCGGAACTATTTTTATAGATACAATAATTTATATGATAATATCAATGTATATAAAAATATATAAAAATAAATACAACTATTTTTTTATCATAAATTTTGATTATTGATTATTATTATCTGCAGTACAATTCGGCGCTATTTATTTAAAAACAAATATTTAGATATTTCTAAGTATAAACATAAATAATTTGATAAACGTTTATTATATAACTTTAAATTAGATTGTCGCATCATACTTACATTTGGAAATTGAAATATCTTCAAATTTAACAAGCAACAGATTATTCTGCTTTACGGTCACTTTCGGAAACACCAATCGATAATTTAGTAGTAGCGAATATTAGGAACAATCAATATTCTTATGAGAAAAATTGTATTAAGCTTACAAGCTTCAAAATTCTTTTAATAATAAAAACGCAATTATATGAATAAAATGTAATTGTTTTCTTTAAACATGCCGGTAAATCCGGCAGATCAAATTGACAAGTGAACATCCAAAAGTAGTTCCGTATAAACTGTTTCCATGACAGCATTCGCGTAGTAATACATAAAAAAAAAAAAAAATAATAATAATAATAAATAAATAAAACAAAAAGCACAAAATATAATAAAATGTTTAGATTTAAAAGAAATAGATGTGAATTAGATATGATAGAAAAAAAATAAATTTTTTTCCATGAAATCTATATTTAATTCAAAACATTTTAAATGTGATTTATAAAATAATACAATTCATAATTTATCATATAAAAAATTAATTTTATTATTCGACATTAAATATATTTCTATGATAATAATCAAATCAAATAAAATATATCAAATCAAAAAAAAATAAAATAGAAAATAATAAGTAAAAAGAAAGTTAAATTATCAAAATTGAATATACCGCGATTTATTGATTAGTGTATTTTGAAAAGATGACATTAAGTCAAGTTTATATACAGGATTGCCAGCATATAAGAATAAAATGGTAATAATGTAAAAGAGAGAGAGAGAGAACAATAATTTACCATGTGATTTTGATGAGCAAATCATCAGTGCGATCAGCCTTTCGTCACGTGTAATAGTGTTTTATTTTGTTCATGTATTGCTTGTTAACTTCATCTTCGTTTATGATTTATAGTATAACCGTAAATATATAAAACAAGTTTAATGACATTCAATATTTTATTAAATTTAAGATGTCATCAAAGACAGCACAGGTAATTTTATATATTTATATACATATAATTAAGAAATCATAAATTATAACTTTATCATATTTATGTTATAAATTGTATTAGTATTAACTTATGAAAAAATCTATTTAAATTTTTTTTTATTTTTAATTTCTATTTTATTTTTAAATTTAAAATAATTATAATATTTTATTTTTCAAATTTAGAAAAAAGTAATACATTTTTAAATATTTATATTAAATATGAAATATTTATTTTAGATCTCCGATACACTTAGAATTCTTCATTTACCACCGGAACTTTCTGATGAACGACGTAATGAATTATTCAAAAAATATGGTGCTATTAAAACACAAACTTTAAGACTATCTAAAAAGTATACTATAACTTTTGCAAAATTTCAATCTCAAGAAATAGCTACAGAAGCATTACTACGTTTGCATCAATTAAATGTCAAAGGTCAATATTTGACAGTTGAATTTGCTAAAAAGTCTATATCAATAGATAAAACAGAAGATAATATTGATAATGATAAACTTATTAAAGAAGAAAATAAGAAGGAATATATAAACAAATCCAATTTTCAAGCATTTTTACAAAAATTAAATAGTTGGACTATGAATCAGGTTTTTACTCAACCACCTCCACCAAATATTCATTACAAATATTCAGCACCAACAAAAGGCACTTTGATAAGAATATCTATACAATTATTAAAAGAACCAGCATTTTATACACAGGTATATTAATTAAAATATAGTTTAATATAATATTCTTTATTTTTATAAAATTTTTTATATTTATGTATATAATTTCTTATATTTGTGTAGGTTTTACACTTAATGAATAGAATGAATTTGCCACCTCCTTTTGAAGAATTAGAATCAGAATTTCCAGCACTTAAAGAAGTTTATAATATAGAAAAATATAAAGATATATTTTTAAAAGAAAGTTTATATGATAAAGAAAATGAAGGTAATAATATTTATAATTTTCTTTTATTTTTATTTTTAAATTTTATGTATTTTATAGTTATAACAAATAATATATTCAATAGATATTTGTAATGAGGAATCAGATGAAGAAGAATCTGAAATAGAATCAAATGAAGAAGATAATACAAAATCTATAGAAATTATACCTGTTAAAAGAAAACGTCGGCAACATATGAAACGCTTAAAAATTCCAAAATTTATTAATCCTAGTAAACATATAGTATCTTCAAGTTCTACACAAAAGATTGTAAAACCAGCAGATATGTTTGAGCCAATACAACGTGGTGAAACAAAAAATCTTAAAATTGAACTAAAAATGGTAGATAAATTATTGAATATGCCAAATAAAGAAGAAAATATTGATTCTAAAACTACTCCAGATAGTGGTTTTGGATTAATGTTTCCAATTTCTAAAAATTTTGATACTATAGAAAATAATGAACCTACTGAGAATGTTCATCAAGAAATAATTACATCTAATGAATTAGCAAATAATAGAATTTCAGTTAATGGTAAGAACTATTTTTTTCCCAATTATTTTATTTAATTAATATATTTCTAACAAAATATTATATTTCGTCTAAAATCTTCGTCCAAAATATCAAAAGAAAATATCTGATAGAACATACTAAACAAATATTTCATATTATTTATATTCATATTCATATTATTAAATATTTTATTTTATTATATATATTACTATTTATATATTATTATTTAGATCAGAGATTACTTCCTGTATTTAAAAATTATCATCCTGGGAAGCCATCAAATCGTTTATATATAAAAAATCTTGCAAAACAAGTTGAAGAAAAGGATCTCCATTTTATTATCGAAAATATGTAATATCAGAATTAAAAACAGAATTTGAGTAAGTATATTTAATTAAGACATTTCTTATATAGAATTTTTTGTAAATATATTTATATAAAATTATTTATATAAAAAATTATTTATTCATTTATTTATTATTATTTTTTTAGATATGATGTGCGACTTATGCAAGAGGGTAGAATGAAAGGTCAAGCATTTATTACATTGCAGAATGTAGAACAAGCACAATTAGCTCTTGATGAACAAATGGTTTCATTTTAAAGGACAAGCCTATGGTTGTACAGTTTGCTAAAATAGCAAAAAGTTAATAAAAATATTAGAATATTTTCTCTAATATATTCTATATATGTATTATGTTATTTATAATCAATATTCATTTTAATAAAAAAAATTTTTTACACTTCCTAATAAATTATATGCAATATTATATCTATTTACATTACGAAAACTTTAATCGTATGTAGTAATGTGGATCTTAGAATCAATGCGGTAAAGTGATTAAATTCAATACTTTTTACACAAAAGAATAAAAAATTTATATAAAAATTATTTTTTTGTTATTAATAAATCATATTTATTAATTTAATAATATTTTGACATATTAATACTAATAAATACTTTAATTTAATTTATATAAAAACTTTTGTAGATATAGAACAAAATCTCGCTTGAGTTACTTAGTGGCATGTCATAGCCGCGTCAGCGGAGATCGGCGCCCGCCTGGCATACAGTAATTCGAAGACTTTCCACTAGAGTGCTATGTTTTGAGTTGTTCGATCTGTATCGTATGTTAAGCGTTTGGTTCACCGATCACCGCTGAGTTGTAACCGTATGTGCTGTCGCCGTTACTCTATTGCCGTCCCTCATTTCCGTCGTCGATCTCGCACACGTTGACACGTCCTTTGTATTGCCATGGACGTCAGCTTGTTACTTCAGCATTCGCAATATGCATTACCTGTGGGTATCGTGCTTATATGTGCGATTCTCGTCTTCGTCTTTGGTTTCAAGAAGGCTGAACAACCACCTTTTGCACAGCTTTCGGTAGGCTCCGACGTGGACCGGAAATTTGCCAATAAGAAACGTATCAAGACCAAAGAAAAGGTTAGCACGATGCAAATAAATGATTTAAATGGTATATCTTTCTTTTTCTTTTTTTTTTTCGAACTAACTAACAATAAAAATCTAACAATGTATACTGTTCACCCTCCATATGGTTGCTTATTTGTTACGAATATTTATACACGCATACATGATTCATAATCAGCTGGTATAACTGTTTAAAAAGATTTGCTATTGTTTTTATCATTGCATAGAATACAAATTAATTATGTACATATTATCCTATTTAAAAGCATTTTTTTTATAAATTTGATTTATTTGTTCTATATACATGTTTTTTATTTATAAGTTTTGAAAAATTTTATAATATAATTATATCTTTAAAATCTTAAAAATTTGTCATTCTAAATTCATTGATATTATTTGTAATATTATTGCAAATTATATTATTGATATTATTTGTATATTATAGAAATCTGCTAATGGTCAAATTGTAATTGAAAAGGCAAGTCCTATTAAAAAAAATATATCAACAAAGACAGAGGCTTCAAAAAAAGTTGTATCCAAACTAAATGATAGTGAAGGAAAATTAAAAGAACGAAAACAAGAAGATAATAAAATTTCTATAACAAAAAAAGATAAAGATCAAGTTCTTGTAAAAGTTGGTAAAGAAAACAAAGTTGAACAAATAAAAAATAAAAAGAATTTAAAAAACCTATTCCAAGAGAAACCAATAGACTTTGATGAAGGTAAGATTTAATTGAATTATTTTTAAAATTATATGATACTAAGAAAAGTATTAATTTTATATTTAAAATATAGGTGATTGGGAACAAGCTTATTCCAAGAAAGATAAAAAAAATAAAAAAAAGAGGAAGAATCTCCTTCAAAGAAAAATAAAAAGAATACTAAAAAGGTTGATTTAATTAATGAAGAAGTAATTAAACAAAAGATTTCAGAAAAAATAGAAATTAAAGATAAAGTTATAAAGGAAACAGAAAATAAAGAATTAAAAGAGAAAGATAAAAAAGATGTGATACTTACACCTATTTCCAATGAGGAAATATCTAAAGAAAAAGAACAACAAAAAGAAGAACTATCTAAGGTATTTTTCAAGTGTATTCAAATATATTTATTTTAAATATTTTTAATGTTTAAATAATAGCATATATTTTTTTATACTTTTTTTATTTAAGAATGAAAAAATAGAAAAAGAAGAAAAAAAAAGTGCAAAATCAAAGAAGGGAAAAAAAAATTTCTGAAAATGAAAATATCCCTATAATGACTGTATCTATACCAAAAGTAGATAATAAAATCCAAGAACAAAGGACAAAAAAAAGGATGACAATATAGAAAAAGAACCAGATAATCTTGAAGAAAAAAGTCCTAATGTTATGCAAACACAAGAAAAAAGTGGTCCTGTGTTTGATGAACTAGGAGGTAATTTAATACATTATAATTATATTTTTGTATTATCATATATATTGATGATATATCATATATAAAAATTGATAATAATAATTAATATAATCGTTACATTTCAAGAATAAAAAATTTATATGTTAAAAAAAAATTTTAGATATCTGGACAGAAGCCAAACCTCAAAAGAAAAGTAAAAAGAAAGCTCGTAAAGATAATTGAGAATGATTAAATATGATAAAAATGATGTTCCTTGTGAAGAGGAATAGAGTAAGAATCCTGCTTGGTCCAAACGACATATGTCATTTCGGACTCATCAGGTGTGTTTTAAGTGACTTACTAATTAACCACCTGACCAAATTGTTCCTTTTCCTTGTATATAATGCCAATTGGACTAGGTTGTTCGATTAATTCATATATTTTATAGACTTCATATCTGCAGATACACTTTGTATAGAAAAAAAAAAGTTAGATTATTGATTTTTTAACATACTGAATGTTTTAATGAAGCTGTATTTGCATTTGACAAAAGAGGCATAAGTCATAATTTTCATTATAAAATAATTATTTTATACATTTTATTCTTTCAAGAAATATTTCATATATATCCATATTTTATTAGATATATATTAACATAATATAATAAAAATATCATAAATTTCATAACCATAAATTATTAATAAATTGTACTTATGTCTTTTACGTTTCATCGAAAAATCTTAAAAAGAATCTTTATTAGATCTTTATTAATGTTTTTGCATCCACGTTATTAATATTTTGATTATTTATCTTTTATAATTAATTTAAATATTATAGATGGAAATAGTTGAAAACCAAAACTTAAAAAATATATCTCAAAACAATAATAAAATGCAAGACAATCTCTTCTGAGAAAAGTTTATATTACTGATGTACATGTCTTTTTCAATATATTAAGAGAAATATTTTCTTATATTTGATAGCCGGTAATTTATTGCAACATATAGATCTAAAATTATATACTTTATAATAATAAACTGTATGTAATAATATTTTATTATTAAAAGTACATCAGTAATGAATTGCATATTTATATAAGAATATATAAATCTGTGACAAAATTTGTGCCAAGTTATAGAAAGGAAAAAAACAAAGTACAATGAAAATCATTATACAATTATGTATAACTAATTCAAAACAAATAATTATAATTTAGATATATTAGTTTTATCTATTTTTTTTTTCCATATAATGAATAATAGTATATATTTTCATTTTTGGATTTTTGGATTTACATATTTTATTTATAATACAAAGTATATATACAAGTATATATAATTAAAAATATAAAAAAATATGTAACTTATATTTAAAAATATTTTTAAAATTAATTTTACTGATTATGTTACATTATATAATAATAATTGTATTTTGACTTTCAAAGTATCTTATAATATATATTTAATAAAAATGAAACTTTTTGAAAATATTATTATTTTATGAAAATATTTCTATTAATCAATTTCAACAAATTTTTATAAATGAATGATCAAACGTGGATCAAATAATTAAAGTTTTTATGTTGGTTTTTAATTTTATACGAACAATCTAATCCAGCCCTTTATATTTTATGCCATGTATAAAATATAGTGAGTATATTGATTATATTTTAAAAGTTATCTTTAAATAGTCTTTTTAACTAATGTAATAACGATTATTTAATCGTTAATATCTATATTGTGTATAATAATATTACGTATAAAAGTGCAAGAGTTTTAAACTCTACGAGGACAGTAACGTCTTCAAAAAAAAATTAGGTTAAGAATTTAAAAAAACAGTAAAATTGAATATACTATACTCAGAGTTTTTTGGCTTCTATTTTCTAGAAAAAAAAAAAATAAACAAATCAAATCGAAAAGTGATGTTAGTTACATCATCTTATTGCGAATAAATGCATAATAATTAACATGAAAGATATGTTATAACATCATTTGTTCGAAAAAATTGATTAATTAATGTTGTATGTTAATATGTAAAATATCAATAATTAGTAACAAGATAAAAAAAAGAATATTTAGAATGTATGGCAAATGAAATATTGTGATAAGTATACTGTATACCTGAGCATTATATGAACGTTGTAAAATAGTACTATTAAATAATATTATCGTTTATAGTTTTTACTTATAAAAAGAAAATGAAAAAATATTTAAATAGCTAATCATATTTTGTACTTTTATTCTTATATTTTCACAAAATATTTGTTGCTTGTACGTTTGTAACATACAAATCATCAATAATTTTAATATTCACATACCTTATAAAAATTCTTTGTTATAACATATGATATTTAAAAAGAAAAAAGAAAAAAAGAAGAAAAAAAATTTTCTTCATGAATACAATTTTTCGAACGAGCTTTAATTCTATATATATAAAATAATATTCTATATATATATATATATATATATATATA